GATTTTATCGATGTTTACCTGGGAGAGATGGAGAAGGTAAGATATTTGCACATATTTAGTATTTTAGTACCAGTGACGTGCGGTGAGGTTCATGGCTGGTGAGGCACTGACTCTTTCAGTCAGATTTACAAATATGATAGCCTATTTTGACCTTAATCAAAATATTCTGTTATTTTCAAAAGCTTTTTTAGTCTGATGCTATGATTAATTTTAAACAGACCGTTCAACAAAAGGATACCCAAAATCTAAATATTGGATTGTTCTTTCTAAGTAAGATCCCATTTTAATTACAGTTGTGGTCTTACCTTGACTTGAAGATGAATATAAGTCCATGCTATCCTTCTGGACAACAATCTCTATTACTGTTTTGTAAAAGTCCTCCGTATCTTCCTGTAGTTTCAAAAGTTTTGTTTGTTGTTTGCGGTAGAATAACAGTAGCAACAAGAACCTGTGGGCTCACGTGCGCCCCCTTCAGTGCGGCAGAGGTTATGGCTGCCTCCCCATGTAATTGTTTCATTGCCGTTGTATGATAAGACCAGCGAGCCTAAATATGATATATACGTGAAATAAGTTATTTAGAGACTATGGATGGCGAGGATAAATGTAATAAAGGGATCTACAAACATCACATTGGTGACCTACAGTGAGATGGTAACAGGCATGCGCTTAGGGCCCGCTTTCCAGCCAGTTTCTGTGGGGTGACACATTCTGAATTGAGGCAGAGCTCATCTGTGCCTCCCCTCAGAATGCGTCACCCCACAGTAAATGGCTTGAGCGCGCTCACAAAATAAGTGGCCCCGCTAAATTAGTGCCCGCGCTCCAGCAAGTTACTGTGGGCTTACGTGAGGCAGTGCTCGTGCTTGCCTCACTTCTCATCGCTCCCGTAGCGGAGCTCGGCAAATTTGCTGATTTTGACTATAAAATGCGATTGGAATCATACAGAAATCACATTTACACAAGATCAGTGGAGACATTTTATCATTATTATTATTTAGTTTTTCTTTAATTGTTTTTCCGTTACATTGGAGTATGACAGGTGAGGCTCTGCCTCCCCTGCCTCCACTGACTGCACGTCGCTGTTTAGTACAGTATATTACATAAACATGAATGGAAAAATGTATTCCATGGTGTTTTCTGATAAGAGTATCAGACAGACTTCTTTCTGCGGATTGATAGGACTGCACATCATCCTAAATTCAGAGCTTCCTTGAGTATTCAGATTTGAGTATTCAACCAAGCCGTGTAATAACATCAATGCAATGTTGTTGAATCTTTGCCAGAAAAAGGAGGATCCCCAGGCTGGCTTCAACATCGAAAGCCTGCTAATTTGCACACTGGACCTGATAGAGGCCGGTACAGAAACATCAGCCACCACTTTACGCTGGGCCCTGATGTACATGATGCACTACCCAGAGATACAGGGTTAGTATCTGTCTGAATCACATTGGCATTTAGAGTATTCTCACAGAGATTACAGAGTTTTTTGTGCTGTTTAAGGTTATAATGTCCAATGACTGCCTCCTCACTCAGAGAAAGTACAGGCAGAGATAGACTCAGTGATCGGACAGTCTCGACAGCCCACCATGGCCGACAAGCCCAACATGCCTTACACTGAAGCTGTCATCCATGAAGTTCAAAGGATGGGAAATATCGTTCCCCTTGGAGTCCCAAAAATGGCCAGTAAAGACGCTACACTGGGAGGATACTCAATACCCAAAGTAAAGAACTATTTACCAGACTCGCCCATATATTATAGGTTGAGTTTTGTCCATTATTTTTACACAACGTGACATTTCATGCTTATTTCTGCAGGGAACAACTATTACTACAATCCTTACGACTGTGCTGTTTGATAAGAATGAGTGGGAAACTCCGGATACCTTCAATCCGGAGCATTTCTTGGATACGGAGGGGACATTTCGCAGAAGAGACGCCTTCTTACCGTTTTCAGCAGGTTTGCTTGATATTCCTCCACTAGCTTACAGACAAATTGCTACTAACATATTTCCTGCTATCAAGATTAGAGTTTAAAATCTGTTGCCTATTGTTTCCCGACAGGTAAACGTGTGTGTATAGGGGAGCACCTGGCCAGAATGGAGCTGTTCCTTATGTTCACAGTTCTCCTCCAGCACTTCACCATCTCCCCTGTTCCTGGAGAGATGCCCAGCTTGGACGGTGTGCTGGGTTTCACCAATTCCCCCCAGCAGTTCAGGATGCTAGCTGTGCCTCGCTGATTTGCTCCTATTCCACCTCAGGGTCACAAAACAGTCTTAAGTCCACGTTCGCTGCCAAAAAAACTAAATCAGATCACATTTCTGACTCAAAACTTAAAACTAGTTTGACATGAAATAAATCAATATATAGTTTTTAGTTTTAAGGCCATTCACTCCCATCATCACCCACAGAGATCATTTCACACATTTATACATGCACGTACTCATGTGTATACTCACACATTTAGTAGCTTTGTAGGACTTTAAGATAAAAAATAACCGATTGCTAATGTAACAGGTAAATTACACATGCTAGGTTTGCTAGTATTATTTTCACTTAGCATGAAGATCTTTTAACTAATTAACTAACAATCTACTGTTTCACAATACTTGCCTGATACAGTTTTGATTTATCACTACACTGACAAGCTTTTTATCTACTTGAACTTAGATAATTTAACGACATGGTCATTCAAATATGACATTCATGACCTGTCTATTAAGTGTTGCATAATGTTATGCAACACAATATTGCAAATATTTTCCTGCAGCAACAGGATATCAGATGTATTATATTTTCCTATATCCATTAGCTGGTTAAGTATTAGTTAAGCATGATTTTTTGACAAAATAAATCATAGAACCTATACACACAACTTTAAACCTCACTCACATGCCAACTTGAGTGAGATAACATTTCTAAATAAATGCCTACATACATTAACATGCTTTTAATTTGGTATACATAAACTTGTGAAATTATACTTAAAAATCTGTCAAATGTTTTATTCTGTTCAATAAAGGATTTTAGTTGTACCCAAGAGTTTGCCTTTTACATAGTTTTAAAACATTAAGAGAAGTCAGGATTTTGTTGGAAATGGTTGTGTGGAGTCAGTTTAAAAACTTGACCCAAAGCCGGTTTGTTTGCAAAATATTGTAAGAAGTGTGACGTATCTCCTTATCTTTAGAATCATTGACTAACTTTCAGGAATCCATTGACATTTTTCTTTTGAAATCAGGTCTTTATCTGAATTCATCTGAACTCAAAGAGTCTTATCTGCCCAAGAAGACCTTTATCCCAACTGCACTCTATATTTAGGCTTGACTCTATTTACACTATGAACATCCAATCTCAGTATAAGGTTACTGCAGGACAGTGAAGGTTTTGCACTTTATGAATTTACGTTTATGTTGCTCATGAGTGTTTTCTGTCATAATACCATGTGTAATATGATGGCAATCTCAAGAGCAACGCAAATGATGTATTCAAGTAAAAACAAATATATTGCTTTCATATGAGAAAAGCTGGTCCACCTTAAAAGTCAGCTCACCTTAAGCTGCTGTCGTGTTGCTGCTAGCTTCGGGGCTAACCAGGGCCTGTGTAGAGGCATGTGGTCTCAAGGTATTATTAATATAGTAATACTAGTGAAATAAATATCTTAAACAAACTCCTAAAAAAGGGTCAATCAAAAAAGATGATTGACCCTGATGACAAATAACTATGCCAACATCTGACATAATGTTTAGGTACAAAAACCTTTATACAATTTTTGTGAATGATTGATGGGTACCATTACCATTACAAAACCGGTGTTTCATAAGAAAAAAGGAATGTCATAGCTGGGACCGTTCTCCTGCTGCTGACCTAGATCTCTTCAACATGTGGCTCTATCATTTTTTGCTGGGTTTTGACCTCAAGGGGTTTTTCCTGTTTACTTTTATTTTGTTATCATTACATTACATTTCATTTAGCTGACGCTTTTATCCAAAGCGACTTACAATTACCGATTACAGGGACATTCTCCCTGGAGTAACTAAGGGCTAAGTGCCTTACTCAAGGGCACACTCGTGGTGGTGTTCCAGGCGGGACTCACAACCTCTAGTGTGCCCTTGAGTTAGGCGGAACTCACAACCTTCCGATCTTCAGCCCACCTCACTATCCATTAGACCACCACTACCCCTATATAGGAGAGTTCGTCAAACACAGGAATCCTCCAAATTATTCTCCAGGACCATTGGCTCTCCTAATTGTAGGGAGTTTTTATTTGTGTCAAATTATTATTATTATTGTTATTATTATTATTATTATTATTATTATTTTTACAGCCATCGCAATATTGTTTTTTGGAACTAGAATTGACACGAGAGGGTGGAGCTGGGTACAACCAAACCCTAGTTTCATAAACTAAAAACACACTGTTGATGGTTAAATGTGCAGCAATACAATGCCTAATGAGGCATCACAATAGCAGTTTTAAGCAAACCAAAATATTACATTGACACCTTGCTAATAGAAGATAAACTACGTTAAATATGTTAACTAAGCGAATTAATGTATAAAACCCAAAACAGACACTTTTCTAAACTGGGTTACTCCCCTAGTGACCCAGGTACTGTCTGCACCTGTTCCTGCTGGTAGTTACTCATTTACATGCAACTGCGCAATGAATTAGTTAGATGCCTTTTACCCACTGCACTTTATAATTTGGCTTCACTTTATTTAAACCATGACCATCCAGTATCAGTATAAGGTCAATGAAAGACAGTGGAAGATTTGAAATGTGTGTTATCTGATTGCTTAGCAGATATGTTTGCTCATGAGTTATTACCATCAAATTATAATGGCGTGCTAAGACTTTAATAATGTGACATTAGGTGCAATCATTTATACTATGACAGATATCTTGTTTACCAAGTAAAGTAGGTGTGTCTGTTGCCTGTATGGTCCACTATCTCGATGAACTTTGAGCACTGCCTGAATTACCGAATAGTTTTTTCCAGTTTTGATAGTAGTTTTTAGTGCAGGGGAGTGCAGTTTGGCTTCTTGCAAGGCTTGGACCTTTCTCATGCTGTTGGTTTAACTCTCCTTAAGGATGTGGCTTTATAATGTTTTGTCGGCTTTGGACTTCAAGGGGCTGTTCCTGTTTCTTTTCATTTTTATCATAATAGTCGATTTCCTAAAACACAGGAATCCTCCAAATTATCCTCCGGGACCAATGGCTCTTCCAATTGTGGGGAGTTTCTTCAGTGTGGACAGTAAACATCCATACATGTATTTTACCAAGGTAAAGTTGAGAGATCTATTATATGGTTTAGTCTGATGTAGCCTTTTATTTTGAATGTACAATAGGGTTAAGATCTTTCACATCGGGGTTTGTGGGCACTGTCAATGCAGTAGAAGAAGTTGAAAGCCATTTTAATCATCTTGGTTAGTCCACTTGAAGGTTGTTTATTTGCGCTCTCCAGGAGATGTGAAACTAATGGCTGATACTGACATCTGGTGTTCAAATTGTAGACATGAATGAAAAAGTATTGTCTTCGTACACCTGGTAGCCATTTTTCCCCGATGCATAGGTTTAGGGTATGAACAACTTAAAGGGGAATGTATGTGGTAGTGTTTTTGGGATCATCAGTGTTCACTCCTTGATTTACAGCTGGCTGATGTTTATGGGAGTGTGTTCAGCGTCCGCCTCGGCGGTAACACGATGGTGGTTGTGTCTGGGTACAAGATGGTGAAGGAAGCCTTAGTGTCCCAAGCCGACAACTTTGTGGATCGACCTCACAATGAATTGGCGAACAGGAAATACTCCGGAAACAAAAGTGCATAATTCTCTTTCTTTCTCTTATCTCATAGTCTTCAGGAATAACCTCCCTTCGACCTTTAACTCAAATCTCTGCTTATGCTTGCATCTAGGCGGTCTGTTTGTAAGCAATGGTGAAACATGGAAGAGACAGCGACGATTTGCCTTGTCTACCCTACGTACCTTTGGCTTGGGAAAAAACACCATGGAGCAGAGTATCTGTGAGGAGATCCGACACCTGCAGGAGGAGATAGAGAAGGAGAAGGTGTACACAAAGACACAGATTCAGCTCATTATTAGCAGCTCTTTCGGAGTATAGCGTTGTCTAAACAGTGGATCCTCTCCTACAGGTCAACCTTTCAGCCCAGCAGGCCTCCTCAACAACGCTGTGTCCAACATCATTTGCCAGCTGGTGATGGGTAAACGCTTTGACTACAGCGACCACAACTTCCAGATTATGCTGAATTATTTGTCTGAAATTCTAATGGTGGAGGGCTCTGTATGGGGTACGGTAAGTCAGTCATTTTAATGTCGTTTAATCATTGTCAGATCATTTCTTTTTTTTAAGGATTCTTGAAGTCAATCCTTGTTAACCGTCTGAGCAGCCCATGTCTGTGCCCAAATATGTTCACATAAGGGTAAATATTATGTGGATGTATCTAATTTACAATTTGTTTCTACTGTAGCTGTATGAGTCGTTCCCCACACTGATGAAGCACTTGCCAGGTCCTCACAACAAAATGTTCAGTAATTTTGACGCCATCCGAGACTTCCTCAGTCTGGAGGTAAAGAACCACAAGAAGGACCTGGACCGCAGTGACCCCCGGGACTATATTGACACTTTCCTTATTGAAATGGAAAAAGTAAGTTAAAAACTGCACTTAAAAACACTTTGGAGCCCTTCATGTATATTTAGCATCCACTCACTACAGTATCTTCTTTGCATCTCTGAATAGAACAAGGATTCAGACCTTGGCTTCACAGAGACTAATCTGGCTTTGTGCTCTCTGGATCTGTTCCTGGCTGGAACAGAGACCACCTCCACCACGTTACAGTGGGCTTTGGTTTATCTCATCAAATACCCTGATATCCAGGGTAGGTGACATGCTAGCACCACACTGAGCTAACTGTAAACACAGCAAGAAAACAACATAACTTGACATTTATTTTTACTTATAGAGAAAGTGAAGGCAGAGATAGACAGAGTGATCGGACACAACAGACAGCCCAGTATGGCAGACAGACCCAACCTGCCCTACACTGAAGCCGTCATCCACGAGATCATGAGGATGGGAAACATTGTTCCTTTAAATGGACTCAGAATGGCTGCCAAGGATACAACACTGGCTAATTACTTCATTCCCAAGGTTTGTGCAGCCCACAATCATATTTAGTCTGAAAAGGATTGTATCTAAAATGTGGGTGTTGTTGTCAATGGTTGGTTATGAATCTTGTTTTTTAGGGTACGACCTTGATGCCAATCCTGACCTCTGTGCTGTTCGACAAGACTGAATGGGAGACCCCAGACACCTTCAACCCTGGACACTTCCTGGATGCTGAGGGAAAGTTTGTGAAGAGAGAAGCTCTCATGGCTTTCTCTGCAGGTAATCAACATTCACCTGAATCATAACATGAACTAGAACATACGTTTTATCCTTAGATCTTACACTTTCATGTGAGTATACGTTTGTGCACTCTTCAGGGAAACGTGCGTGTCTCGGAGAAGGCCTCGCCAAGATGGAGCTGTTCCTGTTTTTCGTTGGTTTACTGCAGAAGTTCTCCTTCTCTGTTCCTGATGGAGTAGAGTTGAGTACAGAAGGAGTTACTGGAGTGACACGAGTACCACACCCCTTCAAGGTTTATGCCAAGGCTCGCTGAATCATACAACATCTCACTGAATAATTTGAATAAACAACGAATGTTTCCTCATCCACTGAGGGCTTGGTGTTCTTTGCCTTTACAATGATGTGTGATAAAGTTGTTTTTACATTGAATACACAAATTAAAAGACATTTCCCTTTGTCGTCATAATGTGTAATAAATTCATTAAGGTACTATCTGTAAATTGTATGTCATGTATAAGTAAAAAAAACTGTAATGATCTGATTTCTATCCATCTTAATACATTTGTTATTAAAAAATATGTTTTGATTTGTTTCACACACCTGGTGTAAGTCTTTGCTTAAAACACAAAAGAACATACACTCATCTTCTTTTTCTTCTGCTTCTCCTTCTTATTACACCAATTAAGTGTCCTCAGAATATTCCTTTAGCAATAAACATCTACAGTACAAGGAAAACAGGCATCCAGCCACACCACAAGCTTGAGAAACATAAGGCACAGTGCTTAGACTTAAGAATCCCTTCCACTTCTATGAGGGCAACCAACACACAACCTGACCTTAAATGGCCACCTGGCTGATTTCCAGAAAAACAAAATTCAACATGCACAATTCCTTATATATATATTGTCTTTAACTCATTCCCCAACAATATAAATGAAATATATGATTCGTTTTTGAAAATACTCTTTGCTAGATCAAATTTAACAATGGAAGTGTCCATCGTTTTTTGTGATAAAAATGTAATTTATGTTAAAAAAATATACACTGTAATAAAAACTAGGTTTACATTTTGCTCATGCTTTTCTAGGACAAATGTAAATGAAACTTTTTTTCATTAATGTTTATTAATTTTAATCTGTCATATAATAATCAAAGCCCTGAAGGAAATAAAGCAATTTAACAGCAATTGAAACACAAGAACCACACATCCGAAAGTATTTGGCTGTGAAATATATAGAGATGATGAAACATCCATATAAATGACATGCAGTAGAACAGATATAACACAAAGCAAATAAAAAACAATTAACAGTCACTATTCATAAAATACAGTATATCTGAAAAATATATTGATGAAGTTCTTCTAATGCATTCCACTCACTCTCATCCATTATTAGCTCCAAGGCTCTTTGAGCAGAATATCTTTTGGCCATTTTGCTGGTAGATAATTGTAGTTCTGCACTATACACTGTAATGTGAGGTTATGTCTCTGTTTAGTCCCTCTTCCGGCGTGCAGGTGCGAGGGGGACAGTGCGAGAAAATGTAAAATGTTTATACATATCTGGAAGATCTAAAATGTTTATAATGTTCTAGGATAGTTTTGTGTACACACTACAAAGGGTAAAGATCAAGGGAAAACAGGATCAAACAGCTTGTGTGTGTGTGTGTGTGTGTGTGTGTGTGTGTGTGTGTGTGTGTGTGTGTGTGTGTGTGTGTGTGTGTGTGTGTGTGTGTGTGTGTGTGTGTGTGTGTGTGTGTGTGTGTGTCTTTAGTTTGTGTATTTCTGTGTGTTTTTCTCTGTCTGTCTGTCCTGGTATTGTATTCGGGTCAGATTGACCCGAACCTCTTATGAAGGATATAAATGCGTGTGGGCATTTTTTCATAAGTGGAAAAAAATAATATGTCCTTCAAAATAAATAAGCCCCGGCCATTGAGTTTCAGGTTGAATGAAAATATCCTTATATTTTTTTGTATTCATTGAAAATGGAAATCGGGTCAATTTGACCCGAACACCACACAAGGGTTAAGATTTCCATCTCCATATCTACACTGTACCACAACAAAAGAGAGAGGGTTGAGCTCAGTTCAACCAAACACTGAACAATAAAAAAAATTGGGGCGACCAAATTGTTCAATTTAACTTATGTGAAGAGTTAAAATGTAAGGACAAAAACTCAGACAACACACAAACTGGACAACAACGTAGTAGCGACAAGTTAATCAGATGGTAGCCTCAATCTTGTCCTGCTTTATCATCTATTTCACTGTAAATAAATAATTTACTAAATTAATGTCATGCAAAAATACTTGAAACTGTATTGAGACTAAGACAGTGAGTCTGTTGCCTAAGACAATCAATGTATGAGAACCAAAAAGCACACCTTTCTAAATAGACTACAAGTTTGCCTGTGTCTGACAGCACAACAGAAAGAGTGAACTTGGGTTTTGATCATGCTGACGTGGTTTGTGCTGTCTGCACCTGTACCTGGCTGGTGGTTACTCATTTACATGCAACTGCACTATGAATCAATTAGATGCCTTTTACCCACTGCACTTTATATTTTTGGCAAAACTCTATTTACACTATGAACATGCAATCTCAATGTAAGGTTGATGAAAATCAGTGGAGGTTATATAATGTGTATTAGAACATTGCTTAGCTGATGTTATATTATTATCATTATATTACTTTGGCATGATAATACTTACATTATTACTACTTGGTATCATCATTTGTGTGATGAGAGAGATATTTGCCAAGGAAAAGGTAGTTGCGTCAGTAACCTGTGTTGTTATGCAAGTCCATCACGATGACCTTTGAGCCAACTGCAGAGTCTGAGTTACTGATTTGTTTTTCGGGTTATCTGTCCTGTAATGTTAGAAGTGTGTAGTGTAGGAAAGTGTGCCTTCTTGGAAAACTTGAACCTTTCAACTGCTGCTGGTTTAACTCTCTCTAATAATGTGGCTTTATAATTTGTTGCTGGGTATTGACCTAAAGGATCTGTTCCTGTTTATTTTTATTTTTATCATAATAGCCGACTTCATCAAAAACAGGAATCCTCCAAATTATCCTCCAGGACCAATGGCTCTTCCGATTGTGGGGAATTTCTTCAGTTTGGACAGTAAACATCCACACGTATATTTTACCAAGGTAAACATGTATGAAGATATGTTTTCATTTGTGAACAAGGGTAATTATTGGATTATTGTAACTCTTTATTATCAGGGTGTACCAAAAGGTCAGTTAAGTCGCTTCAGCTAATTCAAAATGCTGCAGCACGTGTACTAACTAGAGTTCAGAAAAGGGACCACATTACTCCTGTTCTGGCTGCCTTACACTGGCTCCCTATAGAACACAGGATATCATTTAAAATTCTTCTTCTCGCCTAAAAAGCCCTTAATGGGCAAGCGCCATCTTACCTTAAAGAACTCATTATACCTTACTGTCCAACTAGGGCATTGCGTTCCAAGAATGCACGGTTGTTGGTTGTTCCTAGAGTCTCTAAAAGTACAATGGGAGCCAGAGCCTTTTCTTATCAAGCTCCACTTTTGTGGAATCAGCTTCCAGTTTGTGTTCGGGCGGCAGACAGCCTATCCGTTTTTAAGAGTACGCTTAAGACCTTCCTTTTTGATAAAGCTTATAGTTAATAAAATAATCTAATAAGAGTGCATTGACGTAGATGCGTTGTGCCTCTTCACCTATACATTTGAGTTCTTACTCTTTTTCCTTACTGATGGTATGTCATTCGGTTGTGTGTGTAGACGGTGGAAGCAGGGAGAGGCATATACGTGCCTTGATCCCTGCCGAGTCGACGCACAACTGTTGATTGGTGTCAGTGCCAGAAACACTTTTAGGAGCAATGCGCTCATGGTATAGATGTAATTTGGTTGTGTGTGTAGACGGTGGAAGCAGGGAGAGGCATATACGTGCCTTGATCCCTGCCGAGCAGACGCACAACTGTTTATTGGTGTTAGTGCCAAAAAAACTTTTAGGAGCAATGTGCTCATGGTATACAGTAGATGTGGTGCATACATCTTAGTTCCTAATCTTTTCCCTCACCCTATCCTAAGAGAGTGCATGTACGTATAGACACGTTGTGCCTCTCCACCTCTGTTCTTTACTTCTTACTTGCTACCCCTTTCCCTCAACCTATCCTAAGGGAGTCCATGTACGTAGACATGTTAGTTTAGCTGCTATAGGCTTAGACTGTCGGGGGACACCTTACTTCTTCCTTCTGTCTGTCTGTACCTGTGGACTCTCATGTTCCGAATAACCCAGCTTCCCCCAAATTTCTTTTTGGTGTCTATCTACGCCGGGATCCTGAATCGTGGCTGATCCTGTTGCTGCGATCCTGTGTCCTGGATGCTCTATCCTGAGTTCTGGATTTGAGTTCTGGATTTGAGTTCTGGATTTGAGTCCTGGACTTCGAGTCGTGGCTGAACCTATCACTGTGGTCCTGCCTGACTTTCATCATACTACTTCCCTGATAGCTCCCACAGGATTGTTGACATCCTTGTGGACTCATCTTCTTATTATAGACACATGCATTTCCAAACATTTGTTCTACCTATGCTGTAAAATGTATTATCTCTTCGATTTACACACGGCATCTATTGCACGTCTGTCCGTCCTGGGAGAGGGATCTCTCCTCTGATGCTCTCCCTGAGGTTTCTCCCATTTCCCCCTTTAAACTGTGGGGTTTTTCTCTGGAAGTTTTTCCTTGTACGATGTGAGGGTCTAAGGAGAGAGGGTGTCGTATTGTCATACTGATATTCTGTACAAACTGTGAAGTCCACTGAGACAAATGTAACATTTGTGATATTGGGCTATATAAATAAACATTGATTGATTGATTGATTGATTGATTGATTGATTGATTGATTGATTGATAATTATTATGTAGACATAAATATCTAATTCATTTAAAGTTAATTTGATTTACAATCAATTCAAGATTTTCGTCCACTATTCAGCCATTGCCATAAGTATAGTGGAGTTTGTGAACAAAAACAAATGTGTAACTTTGCCAATGTACTGAGAATAATAAAAGCCATTTCGATCATTTTTATTTACCAAAATAATAAGGTTAAGTTGTTCTTCCTTCTGAACTTGATACACCTGGTAGCCTTTTAGTTCATTATTGAGCAATTGTATTTGCATTTTGATTTTGAACAAATGATCAGGTTGATATCATGCAGTAGTGCTTGGATTCATCTGTGTTTGTTCCTTGATTTACAGCTGGCTGACGTTTTTGGGAGTGTGTTCAGCATCCGCCTCGGCAGTGAAAAGACGGTGTTTGTGTCTGGGTATAAGATGGTGAAGGAAGCCTTAGTGACACAAGCCGACAACTTTGTGGACCGGCCTTACAGCCCGATGGTGACCAGAATTTATTCAGGAAACTCAGGTGAATCACACAAACATACAGTACATTGGGCCCTCACCATAGTTGTAAGATATATGGTCATCACCTTGTTGACTTTTTGCTGAAATAGATATTGGCTGTTCTGTTTACATAGGTATGTCACCAATTTAGCTATGATTCAAGAATAAATAGCTGTTTTTACTTTAACATTATAAGACTTGGGGAAAGCCGTATTTACAGCTCTTGGAAAGGATGTAATTGCATTTTTATGCTTTTTTATTATCATTATAATAGATGCATAACATGGTCTTAATATTAAAATAATTGTTTTTAGTTTTTTCTCTTTTTATATATATTCAGTGCAAACTATTGTCTTATTTTTATATACTTATACTTTGCTTTTCATTGCAATGATAGCATATTGTCATTGTGTATCCACTTCGTTAAGTTGTAGTGTAAAACCTTGGTTATGCATTGTGAAAACTTAATAAAAAGTGTTTCGATCAGAATAAAAGTTATCGTGACAGTCCTAAAGCACATCACTATTTAAGGAGTCAACCTGATGCCTGCCTCTGTACTGATGTGTGGTTTCTCTGTGTCTCAGCGGGTCTTTTCTTCAGTAATGGGAGAGTGTGGAGGAGACAGCGGCGTTTTGCCATGGCCATGCTACGTACCTTTGGTCTGGCCAAGAGCTCCATGGAGCAGAGCATCTGTGAGGAGAGTCATCATCTGCAGGAGGCCATGCAGAAGGAGAAAGGTTGGGAAAATCAACAAAAGCGAATACATTTTATTTAACAGAATGAGAAGCAAAATAAAGAAACTGACTTTGTCCTGCTCAGGTGAGCCATTCGACCCCGTGCCCCTCTTAAACAACGCTGTGGCCAACATCATCTGCCAGATAGTGTTTGGGAGACGGTATGAATACGGCGACCACAACTTCCAGAGCATGCTGAAGAGTCTGACTGAGATGGCCTATTTGGAGGGATCCATATGGGCTCTAGTAAGATGCAAACCAGCTCAGACACATTTAACAACCTCACACAGCTTTTCATAACATGCATCAGAACCAGTGTGTCGGGGAAACACAAGAAAAGACACTTTATTTATTATTTTTATGTAATTACTTGTAGGGATCATTTTAGATGCCTTTTTCATTTCTTGCACCAATCCCAATCTGATACTGTTTTTTCTCTTTCTTAACAATTTAGCTGTTGATAATAAATGTGTACGGATGCACTTTGCAATTGTTAGCCATCAAAAACGTCATAACCTAATATTCTCCTAGAAATAAATAAATAGCCCACATCAGGAATCAGTAGTGCTACTTCTGCTTCTTTTCATTAGAACTGTTTCACACACACTTTGAGCAACATTTTAAAGCATTGAAGCATTCAAAATGACATTTAAAATGCAATTTTTAGCAAATAATGTAATCTGATTATTTAGAATAACAACATTATTATAATCCCAGTGTAAAATACAGGATTTAACACTCAATATGAACATATCATTTAGTTTATAAAAATAGACTGAAAATATATATTTTTTGTCCTTCCCGATATCGGATTTAGTGATAATTGCCAGTATTGAACTGATAATGATACTAAAATCAGCACATTACTCATTTATATACATTTTTATATTTGTGGACAAAGTAATCTGTAATGTATTTAAAACAATTAAAATGTGTCATTCTGGCAATTGAAAGTCTGTCAGAAAATATGATGAATATAACTTAGGTCTTTGCTTGCCCATGTATATAAACAACCGCTGAATATTCCCGTCTCCTTTCCGACAGCTTTATGATGCGTTCCCAGCTCTGATGAAACTCCTGCCGGGGCCTCACTGTGGCATCTTCAGCAGCTCCAGGTCTTTGGAGGCATCTATCAGAGGAGAGATAGAGAGGCACAAGTTGGACCTGGACCCCAGCAACCCACGAGATTACATCGACAGCTTCCTCATAGAAGAGAAAGTATGGTGTTTGTAGTGTTGCCGATCAACCAACGTGAACAGCATGGCAAAATAAAAACTAACTGACCATATGTTTGTTCCTCAGCACAACAGAAACAGTGAACTACGCTTTGACGATGACAACCTGGTTCTGTGTTGTCTGGATCTGTTCCTGGCTGGTAGTGAGACCACTTCAAAGACCCTGCAGTGGGGCCTCATCTACCTCATCAACAACGCTCAAATCCAGGGTGGGTGTTCACATCAGCAGCAGAACAAGTATAAAAGTAACCAGAGAAGATCAAGTTTAAAACCTTTTTATTTGACCTCCTAGATAAAGTCCATGCCGAGATAGACAGAGTGATCGGACAGAGCCGACAGCCCAGTATGGCAGACAGACCCAACCTGCCCTACACTGACGCTGTCATCCACGAGGTCATGAGGATGGGAAACATTGTTCCTTTAAATGGACTCAGAATGGCTGCCAAGGATACAACACTGGGTGATTTCGTCATACCCAAGGTGCGTTTACTTAGCAACTTAGGAGTCACAACAGAAGGCTTTGTTTATTTTGTGTTTAATAGAAAAACAATATGTTATTTACTGCTGAATCTACTTGGAGATTTATGCTTCAAGAATAAGCAAAGGGCAAAATTGCCGGAATACATCAATTATATATCTTACATACTGTAGTCCCAGTACTTAGGAGGATTCAACCAAGCTGGGGAAATATATACTCTATTGGGTGGGTGCTTTCCTAAAATTGATATATAAAATAAAATAAATAACTAGATGGGCACTTAGAGTGTATAGACCTCCGCAATTGCCAAATACTCTTACAATGATGATGAAAGGGGAAAATGACATATTTATCCACATTTTGATTTAAATATGCTCCGAAATTAAACAGGTTCTTCCCTGGCCCCTGCCACACACTTTTGTACCAAGCTCCATAAGATCGGGCAGGCAAACCAAACGTGTGTACGTGTGTACGTGTGTACGTGTGTACGTGTGTGTGTGTGTGTGTGTGTGTGTGTGTGTGTGTGTGTGTGTGTGTGTGTGTGTGTGTGTGTGCAGGGAACCTCAGTGATGCCTAACCTAACCTCCGTGCTGTTTGACAAGACTGAATGGGAAACCCCCGACACCTTCAACCCTGAACACTTCCTGGATGCTGAGGGGAAGTTTGTGAGGAGGGATGCATTTTTACCTTTTTCTGCAGGTACATTTCACATTTCAGTGATAAACAATTAATTAACTGACTTTTGCACATTTGAACCACAAGAAAGGAAATGGTTTAGGGTGCAGGAAATGTAAGCGTATAGTTAAGAGTATAATTGGAAATATCATAGATGCACTTGCCTTCATTGTCTTGCTTTTATGCTTGTTTGTTTCTCCAGGAAAGCGTGCATGTCTGGGTGAAGGTCTGGCGAGGATGGAGCTGTTCCTGTTTTTTGTCAGTTTGCTCCAGACATTTTGTTTTTCAACGCTGAACGGAGTTCAGTTGAGTACTGAAGGAATCATAGGAGCCACACGCACGCCGTACCCCTTTAAGATCTATGCCACAGCCCGCTGAATCCTGCAAACTGTGCTCTACTATAGAGCAAAGCACACATACATACATTTTAACATATGCAACACAAATGCTGTATCGTTGGCTAGTTTGCCTGTCAACACAAAAAGAACACATTACCAGCAGAGACAGCATTCAACAGTCCTGTCTATAACATGTGTCTGAAACACGAGAGCTGATGGTGACACAAGATGAACTTTAACATGGTTTGTTTTGCCCATTATCACGAGTGAAATGTGATACATTTACATTTGTCCAATATCGAGAGTTATGTACCCAGCATACAGCACCAACACTCTCCAATATATGCCTATTATTACTCACTTTATATGATTTCAGGTGGACTATAGCAACTATAAAAAATAAATGTTGCTACAGAAATGCCAGATCTTTCTTTCATCAGGGTTGTTATTAGATTTCAATGATTGGATCTATCCTGATGAGGTTCATTTAGAAAATTGCTGCATTATTTTCACATGCGGAGGCGCTGATGATATGGAACACATATTAAGAGAACACAGTCAAAACGTTTTTTAACATCAAAGTGAAAACATTTTACATTTGTTATTTTCCATGTTTATCATCGTTGCTCCTAAACTGAGATTGAGGCAATTTATTTTAAAACACATTTTTAGAAAATGAATTTATTTATTTATTCACAAGAAAAACCAAAGGCTTTAAATTTGAACTCTTTAAATTCCTGAATATTCATAATGCTTTCCTCACTTTTCTTGATTAACACACAAACATACAACAATGCACAACAGTAGTTTCTGTGCAGCGCTACGTTTGATTGTCCTTCTTATTTTCTTACACACTGCTCCTAAATCAGCAATCAGAATATTTCACTGCAAAACATAAAATAAAAAGCACTTTGAAATACATCTAATGATCACAAAAGGAAAAACCATCATAACAGAGTGCTTCTTTAGTATTATAGCAAACACACAGAGTGACAAGGCAATCAACCCACAGCTAACTCATGTTGAGAAACTAGTGCAGTTAAACTTAAGACCCCAAGAGCCAATAACCCAAAATATCTATATTAAATATCAAAGAACACACCTGCTCCTCACTCTGAGCTTTTACAGACACTAAAACAGCCTGAAAACATCCATGATTAAATTGATATCAACTACATTTCTCAATTTACAATTTTAAGGAGCTGTATGAAAGCTTAACTTGATTCTTACATTTGTATCAGAAGCTGGTGTTAAAATCACATTTACATTACAGCTGTACAACTTGAATACAAAGGCCTTACTTCAAATCACGCTTTAGGAGTGTAGAAAATACAAGACAAATTCACCAGTCGTGGATTTCTTGCTGTTGCAGCACCTCAGAGGTTCATTACGTAATAAGATTTATAATATTTTCACATCTTAACATGATGGGCTTGTTGAATTTGAGTAAAAAGTCACAAGTGACTGACTCAATTTTGATGCTAAACAGCAGTTGGTGGCCAGCACCAAATATAGCAATCTTTTTTTCTCTAAGCATATTTTGTCTTTTTGCCTGTAGGCAGGATGTTGTTACCCACTTGTATGCATGTATGATGGTAAAGATTTCCATACATCAACACTCATCTGAAGTTAGTTAGTGTAAGCATTCAATTTACCCTTTAAAACAAAACACATTCATATATCTTGGGCTTCAATTCTGAATGATATAGCTAAGCATTCATTTACATTTCTGTCATTCCTGTTCAAGTATACATCATGTCAGGATATAAGAGACTGAAGGCTAAATTGATTATACATATTATTATGGCAGAAGGGAAATATGCTCCACAGGTTGGGACAGTGTGTGTAACTTGTGTGAAGTGAACACAGGTTGTGGGTTCCTGTTGAATAGCGGTCCTCCTGCAGTCAGTGTCTTGTGGTACAGTAAGCTAAAGTCTCGGTTAGGTGACCCCATAATGTTTTGTCTGATAATGAAGTGCTCATTGATCGTTCGTGACCTCCTCCCGAGCGCTGAGAGCAGATGTGTTTAAGGTCACTTGAGTGCTCACTGTTGGGAGTGAGAGTATTCTTCTGTTTGACTTAAGGTGAGACGTTTGGCTCGATGACACGGTTACTTGGAGGTAGCAGCCGGCACGCTGATGGAGAGCGGCCGGCGGGGAGCGTTTGAGACCTGCCGCTGCTGCGACAAGAAAGACTGTCCGGGGGTCAACACGGAGGAGGTGCAGCCGCCGAGACGGGCCTCCATCGCCAGCTTCTGAAAGCCCAGACTCTGAATGACAAAAAAAAAAGACATTTAAGTGTCAATAATGTCATAAAAAGGCAGGAGAAACACCAGGTAATCTGAATTTGTTTTACCTTGTTGTACCACGCAGTGACAATCAGCTTCTCCTCGTACTCTCTCAGTTTGGCCTGCTCACAAAGACGCTACAGAGGCAAAACAATACAACATGAATTAGGTTTGGATCCCATGTCCTTTATAAACATATTGTATATTCACAGACAAGGAGTCAAAAACATATTTACTTCCAGGGTGAGAATCTGTTTGTCCCGATCGGCCAACTGGTTCCTCAGAGCCTGGATCTCAGCGGTGGCTGGGTTAAGCTTTGGATCCAGTGCTCTTATAACCTACAACAACAAAGTGTGAAGGCACATTCATTTATTTGACTCAAGGAATAATACGTTAAAACTAAATACACAAATAATAGAGAAATTATATTATCGTATCACTCACATTGCGAGCTTTCTCCAGGTACATCTTGTACCTCTCTTCCATGGCCCTCATGTCATCGTCCTTCTTCTTCAGAGCAGCCATCAGCTCATCCAGCTTCAGGGCTTTGAGGCAAGAAAGAAATGATAATGTTTCCCTTCAGTCACATTGTGCTGTTGTGCATATTTCTGGGGGAAATAGCACTCTGCTCATGAGAAGAGAGAGACGCTGACTACAGAATAGGTTATATTTTCCACTCTAGAGGTTGCGGTAGTGGTAACATGTTGGAATTATCAGAGAAAATATTTTTGACTTACAATTCTGAGTGTTGTCAGGCTGCAGGTCCTCCAGCAGCTCTTTCTTCTTCATGATTTCGTCCTGAGCCTCGTTCAGTTGGACCCTGAGGAAACAAAAGCAGTTTCTTTAGCTCCCTCTACTGGAGAACATGTATATTCATTTGATTTCTCAACTTTTCTTTAAGAGTTGACACTTTTCATATTTCAAACTTACATGTGGGCATCAAGTTTCCGTTTCAGGTTTGACTGAAAAAAAGAATGAAAAGAGAATGGATTAAAAAGCTTTTTCATAAAATCAATTCATTGCAAAATAAACACATTAGCAAAAATTACCTCTAAATTATGTAAACATTTTGAGGGAAAACGTAAACTAATGTGATTTCTTTACATAATGCCATCCCAGCACAAAGTCTAAACAGCCTAATAAGATGAACTCAGTGGGACTCTCTGGGTGTTTCTCAATGTCGAGGAAAGCTGCTCCAGAGCCACTATTTCAAGCATACTAAGCCATCGAGTGCCGCCGAAGGACTGTTCCAATCTCCAGCATACTTGGAATTCTACCGAGGCCGGCGTACTTCGTAGCGAGAAATTTCGAGGCTGCACATGTGTAGACTCCACGGTCTTAAAATCCAATTTCCAAATCTTTGGCGGAAACAGCACTCCATTCAAGGCGGGGCCTCGCATATGACGCACACCTGCACACCTGTTAGCCTGTTAGCCTGTTCCACAATTCTTTGTTTTCCGAGGCTAGGAAGGATTCTTGCCTCGCTTCTGAAGCAAGTGACTCGGAAGACATGTGCTACCAAGCAAGCGTCCTTGACATTGAGAAACACCCTCTCTCTCTCTCTCTCAGCATGGCTCACTCACATCATCAGGTTTGGCTGCCTGACTCTGCAGAGCCCTCTGGAGGTCCTCCACCTGCTGCTGCAGCTCACTCATCCGCTCTCCACTCAATCTGCAGATAGATAATCATAAAGAGGAAGGAAATATAAAACAAGAATACGTTTATAAACACCCAAAACGAAAAACAGCCAAAAGTCAATGACTATAAAAGGTACAAAAAAAGCTTGCTGCTGATTTATGAAGACTTGTAAAACGTTTAACCTGTTCTCAGTGTCCAGTTCACTGCGTGTCTTATGAGCCTCCTCCAGCTGGGCCTGCAGTGTAGCGATCTTCTCCCCCTCAAGCTCCTCCTGCTGCACTCTCAGCATCTTGTTCTCGTGCTGCAGCCTGATGAACTTCTCTCTGAACATCAATACACACAAGGTCAATCATCACACAGCACACTGAGGACGGGATAAATAATTCTGCATCGTTGAAACAGTGTCTGTTACCTGTACTCTATGGGTATTAATTCAGCTGCCAGGTTTTCATGGCTGGGGCTGGAAGAAGGAAGAATCCCTGCATAGAGAAAGTATGTTTGCTTTAGAATAAAAAAAGGGGCAAAGCGGCGTCATTACTGTCAGATTTAACATTGCAGTTAGATACCTGCTTGTGAGAGCTGGACCTGCTGAGCCTGAGTGCATCGCAGCTCCTCGTTGGTCTCCTTCAGAGAGTCCCTCTCTATGATGGTCCTCTAATGGACGGGAATATATGTTCAAACCACAGTGTTCGTAACGGCAAAAGAAAATAAAGTCCTCTAGATAATTTTTCCGGACACATTTCCAAAGCTGCCTCACCTCTTTTTCCTTCATCACAGTTTCGTGCTTTTCTTCTAATTTCTTCATCTCGTAGGCCAGGTTGTCTGCTCGCCGCGACTCTTCAGACAACTTCCTGTGTAGCTCTTGGACCTGATTATTATGTATCAAGATAACAAAATAATTAACTTGGGAAGTCCAGTTAGCTACAAACATTTTTAAAGCACTGTTGCTCTTGGCTCCTACACTTTCCTAATAAATGGCAATATATATAATAACTACAATCTGTCTCCCTGCTGTTCATTTTAAATCCTGTGTGCTGTATGAGATGTATACCATATGAAGTTAGGTGGATTTAGGGTGGAGTTTCCCATTAGTTCCCAGCCATGCTTTGCCTCACCTGTCTCTTGTACGTCTCCAGCTGTGCGCGGGCAGCGTTGGCCTTGCGCAGCTCTTCCTCCAAGCTGACCGTGTTTTGCATGTAGGTCATGTTATTCTCCTCTAGCAGCTTCATCTGCCTCTTCAGATCTCCAAGATTCTCCAGCTTACGTTTGTATGTGTCCACTGAGGCCTCCAGCATCACCACCCGATCTGAGCAGTTCCTACAACATATGAATACAAAATAAATGCATTCAATTTAAAAAAAGGCTACCAATAAATCGCTGATTACAACTGCTTCAGAAAGAATCATTTTCAATCATTAATCCCTGTTTTTGACTCTGCAAATGAATAA